AGGAAACCATATTACCAAGAGGCCTAGGATGAATGTAGAGAATAGATTACAGTAAAAACCAACATTTCAGTATAATAAGACAATAAAAACAATTAATGCAATTTGTGGCTTCAAAGCAGAGAAAAGCAGGTAATGGCTCTCTATCAATAACTTGGGTAAAAATTTGAGTGGAATTTTTAGAGACAAATGGGAAAGACTCTGGTTATAGACAAGATCAGAGCATATGAAGTTGTAAAGTTTGATACATTAGAAAGAATTACGAACACTTTAAATGATGACTCCATGATGACATTTAGATCAGCACATGGAAATAGGCAGTGTAAAAAACTTCTGATATTAGGAAACATTTGAAATATAGCAGAGAAATTCAACAGAAAAGATATGTCCCACAAATTTAATAACACCCAGGTCGAGTCTAGGCGCTATTCAGCTACAAAAATATCTCCAAGCCTCCAAAACAGAGATGGTGGTGGAATAAACATGATGTGAGAGGAGAAAGGGAGCTCTGTTTGGGAGGAAGAAGGGAACAAGCTAAAAGGAGATAGATGTGGGGGAGAGAAGTGGGAAAGGAGATGAATGAGGATGAAGTAAAAAAACAAAAGCAACTTATGTACTAAATGCCAGAGTGAGACTCTACTGTGCTTGCTAACTTAAAAACTAATTTAGAAAAATAAAGAAATTATCATTACTCCCAAGTGGGGAGGGGGGACTATTTTTGCTGACTCCATACTCTGTCACCGGGTCAAGAGAAACTCAACTCTACCTTGCTTGCTTCACTGCTGTTGTGCCACAGGCAGAACATGTGGTTTCACCAGAACAAGGCTGTCTGCCCTGAGAGTGAACAAGACCCATCCTTCTAGCATTATGTCCACCATGTCCTCTGGGGTCATGTAGCCTATAGCACAATGTCATGATACAGCTCATGAGTATAGAGGTGGTGAGGTTAATATATGGATATCGCTACCTTTTTTTTTTTCTATTTCTCAAACCCCAGACCTGCTTCTCCGGCTAGTGAATCAGTTTATTAGGCCACAGTCTTGTTTTTCTGTAACGTAATGGGGAAAAATTCAAAATGCTACCAGTTATAATCAGGTCAAGCTACAAAACACACTACAGGTTTGTCTTCTACTATAGAAAATTAGGGCTTAAAGCACAAATAAATAAATGGCTGATTACAAGAGATTTTCTCCCATTTCAGAAGGCTTCTCCATAGGGTTCCTCTTTAAAAATGAACTCCTCTAGTGTTTTTAAGTATTTTACAGATCATTAGCCACATGGCAGAAGGGCAATGGGAAGGGATTTCTAAGTTCAATGAGCTAGGACACACTCAAATTGAGGACAGATAAAAATAAGTCAAGTTATATTTAAAATTCTACTTCATCAGTGGGAAACAACCACAGAAACCATCTGAACATAAACTTTAAAAGTATTCCCTTCTCAGGTATGTTATTTCTTAATAGGATAACCACCTGAAACAATGCATTGCATTAATATTATATATAATTATCTTATATTAAGATACTATACATGTGCTGATGACTCTAATGTGTATCTATCATGTATTATATCATAATATATTAGGATATATTATATTAGTTAGACATGCTGTTCTACGTGCACCATAACTATCTCTATAAAAAGCAAAATTATCATTCAAGTTCATATCCTTTCAGTCTATATCCAAATTTAATATCGGCATTGACTTTTCCAATCTCATTCTTTTAAATATTATACAACACACCTATATTTTCTTGCTTGGCTCTGAAACTCTTAGATCTTAAATAAGATCTGAGGGTGATGATTTAGTCTGGGAAATAATCTGCCTCATCCCTGTAAACTCTGAATAAAATGTCATAGTGTGTTTTCCTATCAGAAAATTTTAAATTCCTTTCTATGAAGTGAATAATTCCATCAGGTTAGTAGGAGTCTCTTGGAAATACTAAATGTAAATATTCTCAGTTGTGTTGAGGGTGTTCTAGATGTCATTGTGATTAAAACTATCTAGAAAATTAAGTAAAACAAGAAAGAATTTGTTCTTGGATGACTGTACTGTTAATTTAATGTTTATTTTTTGCTGGGGAGAAAGGATGAAGAAAGCCTCAGGAGTACAGTGTCCTAGTTTGCTTTCTGTTGCTATGATAAAACACCATGACCAAAAGCAGCTTGGATAGGAAAGGGTTTATTTGACTTATGAGTTCAGATAACAGTCAATCATAAGGGAAGTTAGGACAGAAACCTAGAGGCAGGAGCTAATGCAGAGGCCATGAAGTAGCAGTACTTACTAGTTTGCTATCTTATATAACCCATGACTGGCTTCCCAGAACTGAAACCACATTCAGTAATAGATCGGACTGGGCCCTCCCACATCAACCATTAGTTATGAAAATGCCCCACAGACTGGCTACTACTGATGGAGGCATTTTCTCAATTGAGGTTCCCTATTCTCAGATGGCTCACAACTGAGTTTGTGCTGAATTGACTAAAGTGCTAACCAACATATTGTGAGACAACTTCAAATATTATGTCAGCACGTTGAAGTAAATTAATATTTTCCTTTTAAGTTCTTGTATGGAAGACTGGAGTATGCTTATAAGTACATTTCCTAAACTATATTTTATAACTTCTATAGTGATTAAGCTTGTAACAACAGACTGATAGAAACATGACTCTGAAGATTGGGATTCTTTGGTACCACATAGCAATGCAAATTTTTCTATGTGGATTGATTTAGCTCTGTTGCTTGTCATATAATAAGAGGTCATAATCCCAGCATAGTTGCATTCCACTGACTTCATTACATAATCAAAGTACATGTTATAATTCTAGTACTCCCAGACAGAAAAAAACCCACCTGAACACAATACAATTATTGCAAAGACTAACATTTGTCATTTACAGTATTCTAAAATTGTAGAAGGTGTAATGACACAAACTATGTTCTGTTTGTATAGAGTTTCGTATAAACAGCCTTAATACTGTTTGTAGCTAAAACACAGCATAGTGAGTGAAAGGTAACAAATGGATCACTCTTATGTAGAAAAAAAAAGGCACACCAGTGTCTAGAATATCCATATATTGTTTCCTCTAAAATATGTGAAAGTAGGTTGTACAAAACTGTATTTGGATCAGGCATCTTACTTTTTAGAAGAGAGATTGAAATTGTCCTGAGGCAGGGTTTCATTATGTGTCCCAGAACTGCCTCAAACAAATGACCCTCCTGTCTCAGTTTTCTAGGATTACAACTGTAGAACACAATGTCTGATTATAAATTATATTTTACCTACATGCAAAAAAGCTAATAACAGTGAACATAATGCCATTGCATGATGCTCTCTTTCATTCATTTATCCATCCATTCATTCAACAAATGTATATTAACCACCTAGTAAAAATGAAATACTGTGCTCAACATTATATATAGTACCTAAGATACATTGGCTTCTTACCCTCTTGGGGATTAAAATCTCATGATGGAGGACATGATACTGAATCTTGGTTGTTAACCTCACTGGATTTATACTCATGCTAGACGATACACCTTAGAGCATGTCTGTGTTTCTGGAGAGGATTAGCTTCCCAAGAACTCAGGCAGACTGGATGTGGCAAGGGGGAACAAGCTGAGCTCCAGCATTCACCTCTCTCTTTCTTGTGACCTTGGATTCGTACAGACCAGCTTCTTCATGTTCCCTGTCACCATGCCTGCTGGACTGTGACTTTCCTGCCATGCTGGGCTGTGCCCTTAAACTGAGAGCCAAACTTCTTATTTAAGATGCTTTGAGAGGTGCTATTTCCAACTAACTCGAGGAGGACAAAGGGAGCAGGCAAGTGAGAGTGAGTGTGTAGGCGCTATCCATCTATAGTATAGGTGCAAGGAAAGAAAGCTCTCTGAGGCCACTTGAAATGGAATCTGAAGCGCGAGAGGGAGCTGGAGGATGATACTTTTCCTGGAAGGAAGTGAATCTGGAAGGTTTCCAGTAATTGAAAAGAAGGCCAAATGGCCAAAGTTGAATGTAAATTGGTGTCAAAGTGAAAGCACAGACACAGTCACGACGTTCTTCAGCAGTATCTGTTTCACGGGTGTGCAATCTTTGTAGTCGCGCAAGGTTCCCCTCTCAGAACAGCCCTCCCGTGGCATTAGTGCTCTGCTAACTTTATCTTGACATTTTTTAACTGGGGTGTGTGTGTGTGTGTCTGAGTATGCACGCGCATGTGTAATGCCAGATGATGCTAGCTTCACCCTCAGTTCTCTCCACCTTGTCATTGAAGTCAGGCTCTCTAAGTAAACCTGGAACCCTCTGATTTGTCTAGATTGCCTGGTCTGTGACTTCCGGGGATCTGCCTCTCTCTGCTTCTCAGTGCTCAGGTTATAAATGCTCACCTCTGAGTGTGGCTTGTCACATAGATGCTGGGGATGTGAACTGTCATCTTCTTGATCACATGGCAAACACTTTACCAACTGAGCCATCTTCCAAGCCCCATAAATCTTAATTTTTAAACAAGGGAAGCTACACTTACATTTTTCACAGCGCTCTCAAATTATGTAGCTAATACTGGTGAATATAGAAGTCATTTATAAATGGTGTTGAATAGGTTAAGAAAAGAGTACTGGTATGGGAAAAAATTAATATATATTTTTAAGGCAAAATACAATTAAAATCCACTATCAGTTGCCACTAATATAAGCTTTCAAGTTGGTCTATGTAGAATATTTTAATTATTTATACAACATTAACTTAGGATAATCAGCACAGATTGCATCCATTTAAAAATACCAATTTTCCAAAGATTTCTAATCTTTGTCACCTTCTAATAATGCAGTTACATAGCATGTATTTTTAGTAGAGATGACCATCATAGTAGGAAGCATAAACATTTACCTTTCTTGTCCTGGAATACCTATCAGATCCAAAACTCTATTGCTGTGCTGTGAAGTTGCAATGATCCAGTAGTTGGTATTAGCAACATATAAATTGGTTGAAAGTTAAGACAAAATAGCTATAATATGAGAAAATCTACACAGTACTCTCTAAGAAGTTCATTTTTTAAGATTCTGTTTTGTTTTTAATCGTGTCTATGTGTGTGCAGGTGCTTGCAGAGGCCAGAAAAGGAAGTAAGATCACCTGGAACTAGAAATTCAGACAGTAGTAAGGTACCACGTGGGTTCTGGGAATCAAACTAAGGTCCTCTACAAGAACAATGGGAGCAAGCTCTAAAACCCTTCACCTCTCCAGCTTCAAGGTTCACTTCCTTTAGGGAAACCACTAGAAGTTTTACCAAGTACTTCAGTTTATTATTTTCAGAAGATCAAAGATTATTGTCGTGATGGCATCATACAATATGACATTATTTGGACTTCTTTTATTTTAAATGTAAACCAGATATTTCCAGGGAATCAATGGTAGCCATCTCTCAACATACAGTCAGCCACCCAACTGTCATGGTACATTTGAAGATAGCCTCAAAGAAAATTTACAAAAGTGCCTCTTTTATTCAGAATAAAATAAAGCAGATATGAAATCAAAATAACTTTCAGCATGCATCATTAGAGTTGAAAAATAAATATTGATCAGATAATAGAAATCTAATGAAATTAAGAGATAATTGAAAATCTTCTGGTCGCTGCCTGCATATCTGTCTTTATTTTAACAAGACTGTCTGGCAAATTTGGATGTTTTGTGTGTAGTGTGTCATTCTCACCAGGATAAGACTATATGTGTGATGGTAATACTTGAGACTATAAGCCCCCAAGGAGAACACACACAGCCCTCTGCATATGCCCCAAACAGCAGAAGGCTGGTGGGTGATTAGTGAATGAACCTGCTGCGGTGATGAGACCTGTGACACTGAGGAGCTTTGCTTGTCATATATAACAGCCCCAAGAATTCAGACATCACCTCCCAGGGTATTTGTTTCCCTGTAAGCTTCCATGATTGCAGCTTTCAACGGGACTTCTTCTTTATACCTCCTGGGATAAACCCAGGGCTCTCTGCTTTACTTCTCATGGATTGTCCTTGACAAACTCATACCCATGGCTGCCATGTCCCCAATGTCTTTATGCCTCAGAACATTAACGTTACAAAGAACGCTGACTGCATTAGGTTGGGAAGTGACACCACTCACATCATCTTGTTCTTGTCCCACATTCTTCAGCTACTGAGACTGTGATAACCAAACACACTGTCCTGGTGGACTGAGGGCGTGGAAGAGGTTGAGAATGTAGAATGTGATTTGGGAAGTATGCCTCAGTTTTAGAGTAGGAAGACTTCAGAAAACAAGGAGCACATTGATATAGCTCCCCCCCGCCTCTAAACATCATTAAATGTCAATACTGTATTTTTAGAACCTGTCTCTATAACGGCAAGTGCTCTTCTCAGTTTGTCCCTTGTTCACATCCCTGTAGATCTCCTCTAGTTTATTCTTCCTGAAGTTCATTTTCCTGTTCAGAACCTTCTGTGACACGACTTGACCAACAAACTTAAGTCATTCTGTCAGTAGATTTCTGAGGCTCTTTGCCAATCTTTCTTTTGTTATTTCTCATTACATAAATTATCTCTGACGCACAAGGTCCCCACACATGCCATGTTCCTTTCTGCAGTGGCAGAACATGTAACTGTTCTGATGCTTTATTCTTTCCACCTGTTACTGCTCAGGTTGTAGCTATGGCCTATTCCATAGCTTTTGCTCCAGTAAATATGGTGTTTCTCCCCAGGGATACAAGAGAGTATCTATTTGATGCCTATGTTGACATTTTCTGTATATAACTGTTTATTTGAGTCTATATAATGGTTGTTTTCACTTGCTTTCCACCACTGGCCCAGTTATAAATACCAAGGGGATCACACTTTTCTACTTTGCCCCACATCAGGCTGACTTACCACACACTAGTTCAGTCTGGATTTTTAATGACTAGAAAAGAGTAGAAGAGCATGTTCTCCTGTCTGCTCTTAGGCTGTGCTTCTAAGTTGCTGAACTTCCAGTTAGAGCAGATGCATTAGCTTGAAGCAAAACAAACCAAAAAATAGCCCTAAATGTTGAAGGCAGAGACACCTAAAATAGCAGTGTTTTGGTACACCACAAGTCAGCTGCACTTATGTTGGCCAGTTCAGTATTCCATGATTGGGGATCTTATAGACCATTTTGCCTGTAGTGTTCATGGTGTTTAAGCCTGAAAGTGTTGCCATAATACCCTTTCATTCTAAAAGAGTTCTAATTTAGAAGATAAAGTACACACACAATCTCCCAAAGGACCTTTGCAATGCGTAAGTAAAAGATCCACCTTGCATGTCAATGCCCACTCTAGTCTGGTTAAACCAGCTAGTGTAGAGGTGGGATGCCTCACCATTTGACCAATTTGTTCTCAAGGTTTCAGGTTCTTGTGCAGCAGACAGAGAAAAACAGAGGCTAAGCAAGAATACTATCTCAAAGGAGAAGTCGTTAGACAGAGCGGGGGGTAAAGCAGAAGCCTGGGACCACCGAGGGAGATGTTTCCTTCTTTTTTCTTATCTATCCCAGGAGTTTTTCATTAGAATCAATTTGAGCCTTGCATTTGAGGATTTGCATTCTCTGTTGGTAAGAACACCTATTTTAAAGAGCTATGTATTTATGTTAACTTGCAGGCACCAGTAGGCACTGTGTATTCACTACTTCAAGCCAGGGACAGCATGCCAGGAGGATATGACTCCCTTTGCAGAAGCTTTGGAAGGGGGGAAAAAGCAAAGAAACAACCCAACAATGCCAAAAGAAAAGAAGAAAAAGGAAAAACCCACAAAATTCTGTTCTGTATACTGGTTTGTTTTACTCGGAGAAACGGCTTGGTTCTACCCTGCAGCCCGCATTCATTACCGTGATCTTTGACTGGCAGATGCAGAGTAATAGGACGCATATTTTAGTGCTTATTATAATACCCTGTCCAAAAACAACTTGACAAATTTGTGATTTCGACAATATCTCATTTTGCTGGCTGCAGCGCTCTGTGATTGTCTGGCCCACGTGGCTTCCCGATTATGCATACCACCAATACTTCTCATTAAAATGGCCACAGTTCACCAGTTTCGGTAGCTTGGAACGGACTTGGAATGAATTATTATACAACAAAGAGGCTGCTGTCATGCAGAACAAAAGACAAGCAAAAGAGAGCTTTGGCTTAATGAGGCTAAGTGAGTGTCTCCCTGCATCACAGCTACTTGACGGCCTTTGAGCATGGGTTTTTTTCTCCACAGGCCAAAACCTTTGGTCTATTATTTTGTGTTTATGCACCTCGAGGCTAATATACATTTTAATATGCTGCACATGGAGAAAAAAAATCAGCCATTAGATTAGAACATGTGCACTCCCTGTTAAATTAATGACAACCGAACACAGAGATAAATTTAGGTTTTCATATTTAATTATAGCACACTGCAGTACATTTAGCAAGGATAAATTGCACTATTATTATGCTTCATTTTTTTTTGACATCTTCTGCTATTAACAGTGCACACTTGCCCCACCGTCACCACCACCACTACCACAACCTTGTGCCAAGCTAACATATCTGTGAATATCACGCTTCTACCAATGTCATCCAATCTTAGCTGGCAGGGGGAAAGGTCTAGTATTTTGTTAAATTCTGTGAGAGAACTGGTGATCTTTTGACAGTTATGTAGGGTGAATACAATATGGTTTTGTAAGAAAGGATGTGTCATCTAAGGATAGTCCTCCCCCTGCTACACACTGTTGCAATGGACACAGGTAGTCTGCCTTTCTGATCTAAACTAGGCTCAGCACAGCATGGTGCCAGGGAGTTGATGCTTCACTATTACTCCAATGGCCTGTGTATAAAGACATAGCTATGACAAATGCCAAGGAAAACTCGAACACCCCTGCTACTTCGGGGAACTTTTCTTTTAATTTTGTTGATTTGTGATAGAAATGGGACCAGTTCATCGAGCAAAAGTTGCCAGGTAATATAAATTCAGTTGATTGTGGGGTGGAGATGGTAGCTCTTGCTTTTCATTCTTCCAAGGCCACTAATGCAGGGACAGGCTATTACTACAACAGCAGTGTCAAAATGAGCTTTTCTATACAATGACCAGATAACTTCTTATTCTTTTTAGTTTGGGGTCTACATTTTTCCCTCTATTAATTGGGTGCATTTGTTCCCTGTTATGTCTGGAACTAAGAATTCAGCTTACTTCATATACCGTTTAATAGAGTTCCAGTTGGTTGCCCCGCATGTAAAAAAATCTTTTTCTCTCTTTGTGTGAAGCTGAAAGAAAAGCATTTTTGTATGTGTCTGCAGGAGTGAAGCATGGGTATGCGCCATTCTGTTACTTTAAAAAAGCGATTTGAATTAACAAAGATCTAAAGGTCAGAGAACTTTCCCGCATGTCCTGAGAGTTAAATCTGACTGTGAGAATACACTGAACCCTTGTTTTTGCTGGGTGTTTGCTTTACAAGGAAGGATACCAACATGACTGATGACTGAGGATCATGGTGGTGGTACATGATGAAAAAAAAAAAAAGAAAAACATACACTAGAAGAATTTGTTATCATTGGCTGGTGAACAAAATTTTTGGATGACACAGATTATACCTTTATTAGGAATCATTTTCTCTGCCTAGATTCTGACAAAATGAAATTTACAAGAGAATAAAAAAGAATAATCTTACATAAATGAGTTGTAAAATTCATTTTGAAAATCCTTTTTGCTTTCAAATTCTACTCCCTTCAGAACTAAAAGTGTGAAATAATGAATATATAAGTGGCTCATTGGTAGGTGTGATAAAAATTTCTTATGACTAAAAGGAGCTATTTTTTAAACTCTAAGTGTTCCTGACAAATTAAATTCTAAGAACCACCATGTGGAAAAAGATGAACATTGTATCTACTGTATTACAGAGGTTGACAAAGAGTCAGTAGAAGAGGGTCTACAAAATTGGGACAGTCATGGGTTATGCCACCATTTTCATTCAAATATCTGGGCTCAAGCTTCCCTGAGGTTTCTTTCTAGTTGCAGACAAGAGGGTTCAGACATCTCAATCAATGTTAATTAGTAGCCATCAAGTTATTTTTCTGGATTAATTCACTTTGTAGTCTAAAGAAATTTTTTAACTGGTTGAAGGCATACCCCACTTCTGATACAAAAATCGGTTTCACCAAAAGCAATCAAAAGCATGTTTTTTTCAAGTCACACATTGGTTTCTAAAATAACTGTTTTTAAATATGTGGGGGCATACATAAAAGTTACTGCATGGAAGTTCTCTCTTACCATGTGGATTCTGGGGATCAAACTTAGATCAGCAGGCTTGTTAGTAAATGCCTTTACCTGTTAAGTCATCTTGATGATCTAGCTATTATAAAAAATGTTCAAAAACTTAGATACCTGTAAACAAAGAGAAAAATGCAAGGATGATATGTGCATATTACAGACATTTCTGCAAGGAAACATTTCTATTTCTTTTCTAGAGTTCATCCATTTCCTGTAATGAAAGTGTATTTTATACTGACAAAGACTAAAAATGAAAGTGGTAACTTTAGAAAGTTGGGTGTGAGTTTCTAAAGAATTATTGATCAAAAGTTCCATCAGAACAGTCTTAGAAGAGCCAAATTTAAATGAATCCAGACAATTCAAGTTCCAAAAAGCACAGGCAGTAAAGAGCATAAAGAACTGCATTATTTAGCTTACAGAATAAATTAATTTAATTAAGCCAGCAAATAAAGACTGAAGAGGAACTGCTAAATTCTTTTAGGAAATTGCAGGAGTGGGCACAATTTTGAGAAATAAATTGTTTCCTAAGTCTACTCCCGAGGAAGAAAAAGGAAAGTGATGTGCGGTGCGTGGGTCTGACAACCACTTGTCTCCCTAAGAACAAGCTGCTAGAAAAAGAGTGAAAACCTCTCCTGCCTCTCTGCTCTTCCTTTCCTTTCCTTCCCTTTCCTTTCCTTCCCTTCCCTTTCCTTTCCTTTCCTTTCCTTTCCTTTCCTTCCCTTCCCTTCCCTTCCCTTCCCTTTCCTTTCCTTTCCTTTCCTTTCTTTTCCTTCTCTTTCCTTTCCTTTCCTTTCCTTCCCTTTTCTTTCCTTGGTCTTTGAAAGAAAGAGATCTTTGAACATGCCTAATTCTGCACACTTTTTTTTTTTTGCCTCCCTAATGTTTCTCTAGAATACACTTCTCAGAATCTCTAAGACAATTCTTTACATGTAGCAGCAAAATGGTTGGTGAATCCCTTACTAAAAATAATATTTCTTTATGCTCACTGTGCATTGTGGTTTATTTGATCAAAAAAAATATTGTGGTGCTCTTTGAGTATTCATTTTGATCGACAGAGACTATCTCAATATGTTGTCATTTCCTTCACTATCCAAATTTCTCTATTTTCTACCTTCTATAAAGATCAAGCTCAAAGTAACAATCTTTAAACAACAACATATCCAATTATAAGTTAGTGTGCTGTACTTTACACATGCAAGCAAAGATGAATGTGAGCTAACTCCATGCACTGGTGGTTGAAATGGAGGTTACCCTGGGCTCTTTTGAATATGGTTTGGGTAGGAGGTTATGTAGAGGACTATAACTACTTGACAAACCTGCCTTGAACAGGTTCAGGTTCTATAATTTCTTGAATAGCCTCCATTTAATGTAATATAGCTACAGGATGACTCTTCATCCAAAATACTTAGGTCTAGAATACAAGGTAGTTTAATTATGGATTTTTAAAATTTTAGACATTTACAGATACATCATGATGCACTTTTTGGAATAAGATCTAAGTTTGTTGTATTTATTGATTCCTGAAGCATGTAGCCTGAAGGCATTTCCTGAAGGAAGTTCCCAGAACGTTAACCCAGGAATTCTTTAATGCTTCATTAATGCCACTGAGCTACATGCCAGACCTATTACCATATAGTATGCCAAGTAATTTTGTGCACTGCGTAAATTTGGTGGTGTGCAATTTTTTATGTGTGACATTGTGTGAGTGCTTAAAGTGTTCTTGATATTGAGGCAATTTTGGATTTCAGTTTTTTTCAGAACAGGGATGGGAAACCTGTACATAATCTTCTAAGTGATGCTTTAGACATTTGGGATCTAGCAATGGGAGCGAGGGAAAGCATACAACACTCATATTTGAGTGACAGGGATAACCACGAGTAATAGAGATAATGATTGAATGCACATGGGTGATAAGGGCTATGTGGAAAGGTTAAGTAGTGAAGACAGAAAATTCAAAAGCACAGCCCGGAAGATGTGTGGAAAAGCTGTAAATACAGATTTCATCAGAATGTGACATTAGCAGAGGTTTGAAAGATCCAGTAAGTCATGTGAGGAGAGTGTTCCAAGCAGAAGGAACAGCCAAAGTTAATGCCTGAAGAAGTACCAAAGAGCTGGGCTGTGGGAATAACAGACCTTGGCCGGAGGCCCACTTTCCCATCAGCCTGGGAGCAGGCAGCTGTAAGACAATGTTTACTAAAAACATGTTTAATAAAAACAATACAGTGCCTGGAGCAATAAGTTCCTGATAAGGGCTCACCCGTGGGAACGCCCTGACCTCCACCTTTTCCAATCCAGAGCAATAAGTTCCTGATATGGGCTTGCCCTGACCTTGTCCTTTTCCAAAGACTAACTGCCTCTTCCTGACTCACCCACCGCCACTACTGGTATCAGGGCATATAACTAGCCAGGGGTAAGAAAGGGGCTGAAGCTTTTCTTGAGGGATGCCTTTCTTGGGAAGCTTTCTTGAGCCTTCTTGGGGCCTGCTTAAAGTTTTCTTTGCACCACCAACGGGTCTTTGTGTCATCAATCCCGACACCCTCTGCACATTCTCAGATACAGGCTGCAAGCAGTTGCGGCACTGGACATGAAGTATAGTAGGTCAAGGAGAAAGGAAAATCAGTAGGGAGCCAGGATATTTCCCCTCTTACCCTCAGGTGGTTCTCTTTTACTCCAAACCCATTAGCCTCCCATCTACATACCTTTCCTGGTGTCATCCAAGCACCTAGATGGCTCAGAGTCTTCAGAGTGGATGTGCAAGTAGCAATCCTAAATGAAGCAACACTACCCTAAGTTGTTAC